TTGTTCGTTTAATTATGTAGATTACTTTCATTTGTATGTTTTTGTGCATTTTCAGGTTCAATTGCAATAAAGGAGCAAGAAGGGTGTTTTGTAGAGTTTTTGAATATCAAGGGGCCAATTCTGAAATTCTGGCAGCAGTGAAGCCCAAACTTTGTTTGCCATTTTGACCTACCAAACTCAAGAACTGGACTTCCATCATAACATGAAAGATTTAGAGCTCTGAATCAGCTTTCCAAATCTTCAAGCAGTTTGTCATTCGGAGTTCGGAGCAGAGAGTTATGATCTTCTTATTAGAGGTGCTCAGAACTGCCTGGCAGCAATGAAAGTCTGCCTTGTTCTTCAATTTCAACCAATCAGACTTGAGAATTGGATCTCCACCAAAACATAAAGTTTTTAGAAATCTGAATTAGCTCTCTAAATATTCAAACATTTTGTCATTCAGAGTTTGGAGCGCAAAGTTATGGCCATTTCATCAAAGTAGGTCTGGGTAGAGCAAGTGAAGCATGGAGCTTTTTACACTAAATTCGAGTGCTCGAGGCCTTGCTTAGAGTGCTCGAATTTTGGGCAGAATGCCCTTCGGAAATGGCTCATTTCAGCCCACTTGCACCTTGGTTTCTTCATTTTGTTTTCCTCTTTAATGAAGTGGTTGGAGATGTTAGTTGGTAGCCTCTTGGAGTGGATAAGATATCTAATAAAGGGAAGCAAGGCCACACACAAGATATTAATCCTACATTTCTACAAGATTAGAGGAGAGAGAAGAGAGCAAGAAAGGTGTTCTTGAAGCTCCAAGGAGGTTGCACGAAAATGGCCATGAAGATGGAGCTTCTTCATTCTTCTAGCTTGGCAATGGGTAACTAACTCCCTTCTAGGGAGGTGATGAAACTCCTTCTTGTAAGCATGTCTTGTTTTTGATTTACATTTGGGGATGTAATGTATATATATGACCTTTCCATGAACTAGAGCTTTATTTGATGTGAAGAGCTTCAATGTCTATTAATGATCATTTTGAGGTTAAGATCTTGTCTTAAGATTGTTTCCTCTTATGATTATTTTGCTTCCATTTTCATAGTGACAATGAAGATGAGTTTATGGAAATGTTTTTATTGGCATGATGCTTGGGAAATTTGATAGTCTATAGCTTAGGGTTCTCTTTTGATAGATTATTCTTGATTCCTAATGTCATGCGCTTCTACTATGTGATTAAGGGCTTGATAACTCTATGCTTAGTGAGTATGTCTAAGGTTGAAACCTAGTTTAGGTAACCAAAACATGCAATACTTTGATAAGTTATTCTTGCCTATTGATTTCATAAAAATTCTTGAAGGTAATGTAGCAATTTTATGTTGTTGCATTTCATGGTTATGTGTATATATTATTCCCCAAGTAAATCATGTATTAACATGCTTATGGATAGGTAGTGGATTCACTTCCCTAGCCCTCTCTACCTAGATCTCCTTCCTTTACATTTACTAGCATTCTTGTTTTATGCACACTTCAATTACTAGCTTAGTGACAAACCAATCAACAACTCCATATTACACCTTATCATTCTTAAATAACTCTAGATACTTAGGTTGCCTTAAGACTAGCGCAGTCCCAGTGGTTCGACTTACCCGACCAATAGCCCTATTTTATAATGATTCGTGCTATTACGAAGGTTGATGTATAGTTGATCAACCGATCAGTTGACAGGAGAGACCATACTCATACGACCCACGGAACGCTCCATGCGAGTGTGTGCTAAGTCGAGCTCGTGATAAAGAGAGCCCAAGAACAATGCGGCCAAAAGAAGGCTCTTACCGCAAGACAAGTTGACGCCAAAGGGATGAGATCGGGGGCAAGGTCCATTATCGGGAGGACCTGGAAAGATGAATTTGGATAACCATGATAAAAGAAAAGCAGCAAGTCGAGCCAAATCCTTGTATTTAGGGCCACTGAAAGACTCATCTTCTTCTTGGCCCTGAGGGGGGAAGTCTCGAAAGTAGTACCGGAGGAGCGATACGAAAGTACTTTTTTTGCCAATCTCTGGAAACTCCTCATGGAGCCCATCTTCTTGGTAGCGAGAAGCGATTTTTCTCGCCGAGGTAATTCCACTGCGTAACCAAGCTGCGAACTTGATCTCATCCTCGGGAATAGACCAAGAGCTAAGGTCATGCTCACCAAATACATTCAAACACATTAGCTGCACAACATCTTCCAGAGTGGGGGTAAACTCCCCCCAAGAGGTAACAAAGGTGTGGGTGTCTCGGCTTCACCGAGACAAGAGAAGTGCAAGGTCGTTGATATCTCGTGGTATGGTTAATTCCTGAGTGTTGCGAATGGCATCTGTGATCCTCGAAGTTTATAAAATTTTAGAAAACTCGGCATCAGACAAAATTGCATCTGTCCATGACTCCCATCCGCGTCTGTGATACCCCCGGATTTCCGACAGGTTGGCCAGGCCCACGCCCGAACGCCCGGGAATATCAAAAACAAATCGGCAATAAACGAACACAGAGTACAAAAGAATAAAGAAGAATAAATAAAATGCTGGCAAGAAACTAAAATGATAATCTAATAATAAACCTCAGAATATATTTCCATTAATTAATAAACTCTTCTGATACAACTGATCCTCCAAAATACAACTCGGGAATCCATACTGTGTGGATCCCTAAAAAATCCAACTAAACAAATGACAGCAATAACTGCTTAAATCAGGAAACTGAATCATAAAGGAACTCCTATGTAGCATCGGAAAAATGAAATAGACTGATCCCCGCTCAGCACGAACAACCTCTACTCCTGACGAAAACCTGAAAAATAATGGTGGGTCAGGCCCACAAACAAATTCTACTCTACTACAGTCCAAGCAGAGATCCGATACACGTATATATCCTAGTCAATCCAAACAGTAACTAGTAATCCGTATATATATATATATACACACTAAAGGAACCTCACTAGACTATAGGGTTGTCTCAATCTGAATAGTAGGCAACATGCAAAACGCACATATAGTGGGCATGAGTACCTAGACCTACCAGGGTACACAACTACACTATATCTAGCTACACATCCCTGGCGATATACGCGCCCTAACCACTGATCCTGAGACTTAAGCTCATATCATGGCACCATACTTATATATATATAATTTAGTAACCATCCTATCCAGTATAAATTAATCCTCTATAAGTCATTCAACTTGTTCAGCTGACCTGACTTAAATATAAGTAGGACTTAACATTTTAGTTAATCCATTCCCTTATATAATAAATTAATCATCCATAAGTCATTCAACTTGTTCAGCTGACCTGACTTGAATATAAGTAGGACTTAACATTTTAGTTAATCCATTCCCTTATATAAAATAGGTAGGACTTAGCTGATAAGTTAATCCGTCCCTAGAATGCCATCGTCCCATACCGGTGCATTAAACCACATAATCCAACAATTGATGTAACGATTAAGGAAATACATCAAACAATCCAGAAATAACTATGATAATATGATATCAAGTTATCACAAAATAGGAATGACTTATTATTTATTTAAGCTTCCTATATCATATGTCCTACACAAACTGAATCTTATACATGATGATATTTTATTATATCGTCAAATAAGCATTCTCCGTATCCAATTCATCCTACATATTTAATCTCAATTACTAAAACATTCTAAAAGTTTAAATCCATTCGTTTGTTTAAAACATTCAAATAGCAAGCATCATTATGATTGAGTCTATTTAAATTTATTTAAATCCAAACCTAGTTCCTATTTAATGTTCAGGAATCCTAGGCATGTTTCTACGTTCTATCATTCCACAGATATGAAAAATACATAATTTAAACATATAAAAATTCACATCGGAAATCAAATCAAAATCATGCATTTATCAATTCATAACACAAGAACAGATATGAACCAATTTCATAAAACCTATGCTCTAATCCAATTAAACATGCATAATTATTTAATTTTATGTGTTTAATAAATCCTAGAATTTCCTAGGCATGTACAGAAACACGAATCAAAGGGAAAGAGATAGAAGAAAAACTTGCCTTAAACTTTCGGATCGAAAGTTAAACTTCTTCTTCATTGATCTTCTTCTCTAAAGGGTTTTCTCCTCCTTTTTTTCCTCTTCCTCCTTCTCTCTCTAACTCTCTCTCTCTAATATAAAATCACGTACTATATTTTTGAATCCTCCTACAGGCTTATACTTATGTATATATAGGCTAAAGAAAATTAACACTAATCCTAATTTCATTCCAAGTCAACATAATAAAGAAAAATTAAAATTAAAATATAAAAATGTAACGTAAAATATGTTACGTATATAATTTATGTATATCCTTATTAAATAAATAAATTATATATATCCCATTATTTATTAGCCGATTATCTAATAATATTTAAGTTACCATAATATTATAAGGTAACCTAAAACATGATACGTATATAATTTATGCATATCCTTATTATACACTACAAGAAATTTGGTTTTTAGGGACAGTCCATTCTGTCCCTAAAAGCCCTAATACCGTCCCTAATGATCGAATTTGACCGTCCCTAATAGTTGCGTCACAAAAGCTTTTTAGGGACGGTAAAAATTATCCGTCCCTAAAAAAAATCAACCTTTAGGGACGGACTTACTGTCCCAAATAAGACTGTCCCCCTTTGACTTATTAGGGACAGACTTACTGTACCAAATAAGACCGTCCCCTTTTGATTTATTAGGGACGGTATTTACTGTCCCTAATAATTAATATATTAGAGACAGTTTATTGTCTGTCCCTAATACAATACTTATTGGGCACAATTTGTACTGTCCCTAATAAGATTTATTATTATTATTATTATTAAATTTGTGACCATTTATACTGTCTATGATACTTGATTATTATTATTATTATTATTTTCCTCTGTTGGATTTGTGTTATAGAAAAACTACTAAATGACATCCACCTTATATATCAAAACATTGTAACTAAAAAGTACAAACATCCACAATATCATTTTAGAAAGAAAAAAATATATTGTCACCACAATACAGTGCCAACAAACGAGCTCTTAATCTCACGAAGAAGTTACAAATTCTCTAATTTTGTAAACAAGAACTAAAAAGTATCTACTAGCTGCTTTAACATCAAATGGTTTCAAACATCCTCAAAAATTAAAACATCATTTTAAACTGAATGCAGTCATGAAAATGTTGTTGCTGCAGTTGCTGTTGCTACTCAAGTAGCTTCTGAATTGTATCCAATTTCTCTTCCAAACCAAAGGTGCTTCCCATGCTTAGCGGAGGACCTACTATATTCTGGACCGGAATCATATCACAAAGGATAAACTGAGCTGAGCTACCTATCTCCAGTACATTAGAGCAACACATAACATCAAACACTAACTATCAACAAACATCATTTTCCTTATGACATGTGAATATCGAGGTGGTGTTGTTGCATAAATAATTTCATCATTTACTAGAACTGCTTTATTAAGTATTAGCCTTAACATGATAATTAAGGACGGACTAGTTGTGAGGAAATAAACTTACCGAAACCGATGAGTAAACATTCTCCAGCTGTTTAGCTATAGAAGTGCATGCATCAGATATGCTACACCTTGTAGCAAACATCATATCAGGAAGTTTCTAACCCTGAAACAAAAAACCTGATCTCTTAACCTGGTAATTTTTTAATTTTCTGTATTAAAAAAAAATTACAAGTATTTGACATGAGTATAAACAAAATAAATAAATAAATAAATTAGGTGCATAACCTGTCCTAAGTCATGCTCAAGCCCTTTGCTGGAAATGGATATTCTTCGTGGTCAAGGTTTGGCACATCTTTTTCCAAATAAAGAATAGGCTAACAAAGTAAAAGCAAAAAGAAAAGACACAAACCAATGAATGATTGGGACCATGTCTGAATATTTGAATTTCAACAAAAAAAAAACATTGTAAGCTATAGTTCTTTTAAAGTTCTCTTTTGAAAATCCCTCAGTTTATTGGCATGACCATGGAACCAAGCCTAAGCCTCCCTACTACCAACCAGTGCATTGAGATAATATTTGCTATCAATGGAAGGCTAGGCAAAATAAGAAAAAAGCAAATTGAGAAAGAAAGCTATCTTTTTACTCTCTTCTTTGCTTGTATAAATAATTCTCTCCCTTTACATTTAGTGCTGATTGAAATAAAGTTGAAGCTACTACTCTACCAATGTGATAGCCCATTACCCCATTACATAAAACACGATACCACGGAAATTTCATAAGACACATAATTTTAGTACCAAGGTTTCCACAAAAGGGTTCATCACAGGGTTTAGCTTTGACACTAAGTTTCCTATTTGTGGGCCCTTTTTAATAGCCTTATCTAAGCCCACAAAATCCAAGGAAAAAGAGATCTCCATTTTTAGATGTTGCATTTCTCAAGTGGGATTCTTCAATGTGTCATGGAATGGCAGGACTAGAGTGCGATTAATTTGAGTGTTAGTATTATGTTTCCTTTTCAACCAGACTGAATAGATACTATTACTTGATCATGGAGTTTTAGTGCTGAAATGTCATGAACAGATAGATCAACTACTCTAATATGTGTGTGTGTATGTACATATATATATATTAATGGAGACATGATTCACAATTCACACAAATAAGACATAATCAAGTTTTTTTTTCCCTAAAGAGTCTAAGACAATCAAGTTCACTTATGACATTTTTATCTCTCTTTAATAGATGCATATATACTTGCTAACAAGATTTTGAAGCCATAATTAATGCTAAAATAAGAAGAAATTACGACATATATGTTTTGGGAAATTAAAACAATTAAACAAATAAAAAAGAGCTCAAGGAGAAAAATATTCACAATAAATAGCACAAAAGCTAGAATTTATGATAAAAGATATGTATCCCATAATCTATTTTCTGTTGTGTTCTCAAAAACCAACTCACAACTAGGAACATTCTTTCCTATTCTTCTTAGTAATTGGAAATTAACACCAATAATCGTCCAAGAAAAGCTATTTCACTACAAATAGATTTCTCTATAACTAGTATGATATACATACAATCACAAGAAGAATGAAAACAAATCAAACATATTATCAGACCACTTATGGGCTTAGAATTTTACTCTCATTCCCAAAAAAAAAAAAAAAATTATTTTCCCTATTTTTCCCATAGCAACAAATTAAATCAAATGGAAACAAATTAATGTTGAATTAATGAGCTTGAAAATTTCATTTACTTGTTAATAAGGATGAGAACACAATAATTTGAAAACTAATTAGGACAGCTAGCAAGATTCACCTTGAAGGGTTGCTCGATTAAAAGCCCATGAGAGTCATTTTCTTGATGCACATTTGATCTTGGATGTTGAATTGATAGCTCAGACCTTTTAGGGTTCTCAATATCAAACATTGAATCCTCAGAATTATCTCTGGATGACCCATTATCAAACACATCTGATTGACCTAAATCAACAAAAATAAATAAACCCCAGTATGTTTACATCCTTCCAATTAATGTTTCAAAATAATTCACATAAATAAGCATAAAAGAGCTATAACAAAAGAAAGCAAAGTACAAGTTATAACAAAATATAACTAAATTTAACCCACCTACTTCTCATATTTACATTTTCTTCCATAACCCATGAATCTTTCTTTCATTTCTATTTCTTTTAATTCTAAATTTTTATTTTCGACGGCCAGAAATCAAATTTTGTTCTTTTCTGCTATTTTTTTTTTAAAAAAAATAAAAAAACTCCTACATTTCTATATCAATCAAAGAATAGTAATAAAATAAATTAAATTTCAGTTTTGGTATAACTCAATATATAACACAAATCAAATAACATTAATAAAGTTTCAATACATCACACAACACTTAAACAAGAAATGCTTAAAGATCGAAGATATTAAAGACAAAGGAGAAAGAAATACCTCTAAAGTTGAATGCCATTAAGTCAATATAAAGACTTCTACGCAAGAACAAAGAGGCATTAGAATTATGTGACTTATCTGTCATTATCATTCTTATCAGTCTGTTTCTATAGATACCTTCCTTTCAGACTTTTGTTTTTTGTTACTCTGTTAGAAAAGAAATTCCATCAAAAAAATAGGTGATATTTTAGACTACATTAAAGACCAAATAGAAAATCACAATCAGAATCTAGTTAAGTTTCCAAATAAGCAAGAAATTAAAATTTAATAGCTGCAATGGATAATAGCAAGCCTAAGGAGATAGAAATTAAAATCAAAGACTAATAGAAAAACTAAACCAAGAGGTAGATATAATTAAAGAAACATAAGTAAGAAATTAAAATTTACAGAATATATAGACTTACCTAGTGGAAGCCGAGAAACAGGCGCTGACGTTGATCCTCTGTCCACTTTCATATTAACGCACTCTCCACAAGCTATAACAAAAGAAAGCAAAGTACAAGATTCTTGAAGAAAAAGGAAAGTCAGAAAGGGGCAATTTTCTTCTCATCTTCTTAAGTAGGAGCAACTCCTAAGCAACAATCAAATATTGGAATTGAGTTCAAGCTTTCCCTAGATCTAGACCTTAAAAAGAAACTTGAACGGAAAATTAAGTGCAAGCCATCAATATAACAACAATTTTTAGCTTTTAATGACTTGCTTGAAAAATAACTTGTGAATTAGCACATAGACGACTTGTTTTTTTATGCATGTCGTCAATTAAAGGTTATAAAATATTAATTTTCTTGTAGTGTATATGTACATAAAGGATATATATACATATATATTTATATGTATATAAGGGATAAATTAATAAAGATAGAAAGTTCAAAACACCTGTATGATTTTCCATAGCGATTCAGACTCGTACGACAAACCTTTTCCAAATTTGTAATTTACCCCTTCAATTGTTAGGCCTTTTGCAATTTTGAAACCCTAGAAAAAACTAGGGTGAGGATCATGAAACCCAAGTGGGTTATATGAACGTCAAATCGAACATGGAGGTTCTCTGAAAATCGAAGAAAGAGGCTTAAATTTGAATAATCCCTAAATTTTTAAAAAAATAAAAACGTTGTACCTCAGGATCATGATCTTGTGATTCGCTGAAGATTGAAGACGTTTTGAACAGGAGCTATTGAATTGGGTGAAAATCAAGCCCAAAGAATGTTTGATTAAGAGGTAAGGTCTTCAAATTTCATGCCGGTGGAAGACGTCTGCAACTTTTGAGATCAAAGAACTGAAGAGGTTTGTGACGGTGTAAGAGGTTTGCAAATGATATAGGGTTTACTAAATTTTTTTAGATTAAAACGACGTAGTTTGATGGGCTTCCCTATTTTGTAAAATAAAATAATTTTATATGTTTCATTTTTGCTCGCGTACAATATCGCCAAACAAAAGAAAATTGAAGCGCTAAGTTTGGCGCTATTTTTTTTTTTTTTTTTGTGGAATTAGGGACGGTCTTAGATAGACTGTGCCAAAAAGAAACATTTTTAGGGACGGGTTTATGAGGTTTGGTGACATATCAAATTGACTGTCCCTAAAGGTTGTTATTAGGGACGGTAAAATTTGTCCGTCCTTAATAATAAGATCTTTAGGGACGGGTTTTAGAGGTTTGGTGACATATTAGATTGACCGTCCCTAAAAGCTGTTATTAGGGACGGTAAAATTTGCCCGTCCCTAATAATAAGATCTTTAGGGACAGGTTTTAGTGCGTCACTAAATTTTATATGTTTAATTAAATATATGTATATCCTTATTAAATAAAGAAATTATATATATCCCATTATTTATTAGCAGATTATCTAATAATATTTAAGTTACCTTAATATTATAAGGTAATCTAAAACATGATATGAATATAATTTATGTATATCCTTATTAAATAAATAAATTATATGCATCCCATTATTTATTAGTAGATTATCTAATAATACTTAAGTTACCATAATATTATAAGGTAACCTAAAACATAACACGTATCAAATCTATGTATATTTTTATTATTTAAATATAAAACATATACATCAGATTAAATATTACTGCCAAAGTTACCATAAAAGTAATTAATAAATTACTTTCCATTTTATATATATTAAAAAAGGTAAGTAAAATATGTTACGTATATAATTTATGTATATCTTTATTAAATAAATAAATTATATACATCCCATTATTTATTAATGGATTATCCAATAATACTTAAGTTACCATAATATTATAAAGTAACTTAAAACATAACACTTATCAAATCTATGTATATTTTTATTATTTAAATATAAAACATATACATCAGATTAAATATTACTACCTAAGTTACCATAAAAGAAATTAATAAATTATTTTTCCTTTTATATATGTATATAACATATATCTATATATATACATACACACTTACCCATGGGTAATAATCCATACACATCCAACCTCCTATCTAAGTAGTCCATGGAACCTAATTGGTTGGCCCATTACTACTAACCAAAACCATAAAAGAAAAATAAAAGAAAATAATAAAATAAAAGAAAATATTTAATTTATAATTAATCAAAACACCATTTGAGCACATAATCTAATTAAACAATTAACACATAGACAAATACAAATAACCCGTAGTCACATAATCAAATAATCAAGTAATACCTAATTCAATTAAACACATAAGCAATTAGTCAAATAATCAATTAAGTAATTAAAAATACAATTAAAACAAATAAATAAATACCTAAACTATCCTTTTAAAATTAGGGGTATTACAGCGTCCATGACCAGTCTGACTCATGAAAACAAGACTGGATAAGGGAAATCGCCACGTTCTATCCTGAGTCGCAGAATCGAGCTAGGTGGAATGGGAACTCCCGCGGGCGCATAAGGCTCGCCTTCAAGTAGAAATGTCCCCCCCGGAACCTCGTCCACCTCGCTCAAAGCATCACTGTTAACCCAGAAGGTGTCACTCGGGCCAAAGTAGGGGGCAACTCGCCACTCGGTCAAAGGAGGAACCTCGGGAATATCGTCGCGCATTACTATGATTTAGGGTTGGCTTCGAATGAAACAATTGCCAAATGAATAAGAGTGAGGGGGAGTGAAAAGCAAATAGTGTTATGCTTTGAGGGAAATGATAAATGTAACTTAAATAGTGGGATTGACATTCCAAAAGTCACGCCCCTGACAAATAAAGAGACGTAACTCGGAATTCGAAGCGCCATAATCACGCGCACCAATAGAAGAGTGACACGTGGACTTAAGAAGTCAAGGCGATGTGATTTCTTGAAGCGACTTGACTCTTCAATGCTGTAGTGGTGTGACCTTTCAATAATAAACAAAAGAAAGAGTTGGGAAGAATCAATAATTTGCTCGAGCTCCTCTTTTGGCGACCTCGAGCAGAGGAGCAAAATGTTGATGGTCGCGCCACTATGGCTGCCTAAATGGTGCCACCTCTGAAAGTAAGCACACCTGACCAACGCAAACTTGGCGTGCCTGCTGAAGGGACTAAGTATTCTCGAGCTACTCATCCCATGACTGAACTCGTTGGCCGAGGAAGGGGTCGCTTCCCTTCCTCCCTTAAGGATGCGCCCCGCTCCAATCGGATGGGCCTCTCCTCCCTATCTCTACCGAGATCATTCCCTGCTGGAACGATCTCAAGCCTTTTATTCTGTAATCTCCTTCTTTTTTTTATTAAAGGGACTACGGGAATTAGTTAGGGTATAGTCTCGCGAGATCAAGAAGGTATGGGAGGCTCATTCCCATTCCGGACTTGGGAATCTGAGAACATGTGGACAGGTGGTTGAGATCCAAGGCATCGCCTCAGCCCGAGGCCAATACAAGGGGGAAAGGACAATTGGTATCCAAGCTCGAGCTGAGAATGATAAATGGTGCATTAATTATGAAAGACGTTTGACAAGATCTGTATTAATTAAGGAGCGCCATTACCTCTTTGGACCGGGGGACAAAGCGCCGCGACCCACCCGTCAACGTCCAATCTGTCTAGAAGAAAGGTCCTTAGACCCTTGGATAGAGGCAGATTCACCCAAGAGACTGAGAGACATTGTCCGAGGGAGTAAGTACTATAAATAGGAGCATTAATTAGCCTTTAAGGCAGGCAACCACCACTTTAATTATAGAACATAGTCGAGCTCGAGTTCGTCAGATATCGAGGTCGGCCTTCCTTTTCTTAATCTTTGTTGCACAGAGAATCCTTTGTGTTGCTTGGATCTCCACTTGGATACTGATTTCAGATTTCATGGCTTACGTGGAACGATCTCCTTGTCCTACTAAGAACCACCTTCAATACCCTTGATCTCTGTAGAAGGATTGCTGATATATAGATCAAACAACACTTCTTGAATGCTTTGACCCTTCCAAAGTGTGATTGTTTCACCCATTTTCTTCAAGATCTGAATTTGATGTAGAAGAAATAGGTCTGCTTTCTTTGATCGTTGTAGATGCAATATTCAATAGAATTTGAACATGATCAGGAATTGAACAACACTCTAAAATCATTCTTATGTTTATGTGTGTGTTCAAAATAAAAATAGTAAAATCAGATTTGATTTTTTGCAAAACATCTCTCAAAGGCTTTTAAGAAATTTGAAATTTTAATGCAAAAACAATATCAACTTAGATGAGAAATAAGGTTTATATAGACTTTCAAAAACCTAAATATGCATAGAAAAAAAAGTAAAATCCGTGCATAGGTCTTTTGGAAAGAAATTCATACCAAGTAGGAAGTTTAGAGAGAACAGGAAACAAGTTACCTAATCTACAGAAGGTTCTTGAACTGGTTCAGGATGTTGGAACTGGTTCGAGATGGCCAGTGATGAATATGGATTCGAAGTATGAACTTGGAACCGGTTCAGAGTCTTGGATGAACAGTTCCCAATGGCCAGTCTTGAACATAAGAGAGAAAATACTTAGAAAAATTTTGGATTTGAAAATTTTAAAAGACATATCATGTATTAAAGTGTCATAACCTTTTAACTCAACTTTTTAACTTAACTTCTTAAAATTTTGTTCATACCTTTTTTGTAAATCTTAATCTATCAAACATGAATAACTCTTTAATTCCGCAACCGATCTCAATCTTGAATTTGAAACTTGAAGATATAACTCGATCGGACTTGTTTTGATATCAAAATTAGCCAATTACAAAATATATATCTTGTGATACCCTCGAATTTCCATGTATAGGTTGGCCAGGCCCACACCCAAAAAGCACGGGGATATTAGAAACAATTAGCAATAATCAAACACAGAATACAGAAGGATAAATGATGAATAAATAAAATGTCGAAAGGAATACTAAAATAATAATTAAATCCTTAAAGTAAATTTCATTAAATAATAAAATTAATCTGTTACAATAATTCTCCAAAAAATACAACTCGAAAATCCATAACATGTGGACCCCTAAAAATCTTAAAATAAGATAAATAACTATCTACATTTGAATACTTAAAACATAAACTAGAATCCTATATAAATGATTGGAATAGTGATGATAACTGGTTTTTACTCTGCACGAACAACATCTACATCTGATGCCCCTGTGGACCTGAAGAATAAATAATGGGTCAAGCCCACAAACGAGTTCTTTCTACGACGACCCAAATAGAGACATGAAAACTACACATCTAAAGTTAACTCATGCCATAGCTACATAGTCGATAAGTATATAAATATACATACTAAAGACTCACTAAATTAAGGCAGCCTCAACCGTGTAGTAGGTATCTAATGCAAATCGCAGACAAAGCTGGTCACGAGTCCTCATTTTACCAGGGCACACACGTCTCTAATTTAGCTACCCATCTCAATTGGCAATATACGCCTCCGTCCTAACCACTAATTCTGATATCTCAAGCTCATATTGTGGCATATATCCATATCTATATAAATCATATCCATAACAATAAAATAAACTATCCGCCGTAGTCTTTCAATGACATGTCATCTACATGGTTCCGTGACTTGACACGAAGAGATAAGACTGAACTTATTAGCCAACCCATCCCCATAATCCAAAACAAAGCCATATCCTAACCATGACATACATAGAACCAAATCCTAACATTGGTCCTCAAGCAAATCGTAACACACACACACACACACACATATATATATCATATCAAGATTATAAAATACAGATATGTAATTGATTATAATCATATCATAAGAGCATATAACATAATACCATGTCATTAAATCATAGGAATTAACTTATAATTTATTTAAGCTTCCTATATGAGCACCTCAATCGATTAAGCGCTCAAAACGATTGTATGGTGAATATGTCGTAGTCAAGATATGGCTGAAAGATTGCTAATAAAAAAAAATTAAAAAAAGAAAAAGAAAATGTCTGACGATAATAAGGTGCTAATCAGAAAAACGGTCAAAGGAGTGTAAGAATGTGAAAGGCCGAATAAGGAGCAATCGATTTTCCGTGGCTAATTCAGAGCAGTCAATTCTTAATGGCAGATTTAAATTGCAATCTATAAGTTT